TTCCTTTTAGGATCTGAGTCACAGTAAAATATTTTGGGCTGCAAAATAAGAATAAAACGAATGTGAACAAATGCCTCACAGTGTTGACACAATAAACACTCTTATTCATATTTCATTTAATGCACTCCTGTTCCCCTAATAAGCGACATGAGAAAATGCTCCTTGGTCCTTTGAAAGATAAAATGGCACTTTTATGATGTCTTGAAGATTATTCCTTGAGATGGATGGGCTGAGTTGGAACACCGATTGATTAATCCATCGACTGGTGGAATGTGCCACGGCCGTTCCCCAGCTAAGCTGTTCTTTGCCCCGGACTGAACATTTAGTCAAATATGCTGGAGACGATGACTAATGATCAGATTTACTGAGGAATACAATCCGTGTCTGACTGTTTATTTGGACACGGTCTACATGCATACTCCTGTTTGGCTGGTGTGGCAAATTATGTTTTAGAAAGATCTAAGAGTCTCATGCTCAACTGACTTATTATCATAGTGGAAAATAATATTTTTTCTGAGTTATGAATTCACGAGGATGCAGTTGTTTACAACATCAGCAAAACAAAGACAAACTGTTAAATTTGATCAGTCTGTTCTATTCAGATAATCACCTCAAGTGTCACAAATCCAAAAAAGGTGACTGTCAGTAGCAAAGCTGTCATATCATGTCAACAGCCTTTGGACTGTTTCCTTTTGTCTCTATCATATATTACTTGGAGTTTATAAGTTGGATAAAGACAGACTAGTGCTTGATTTCTACTTGATTTTTCTACAATCAAGTAGAAAAATGAAACTATTTTTTAAAAAATTCTTTGCAAATAAAATATTCTTGTCCGCACCTTATACAGTGATGATGCATGACACAATGTAAAGAAACGTCTCATCTTTAAATGTCAGTTCATTAGGTTTTGAGCATTTGTTTTTATGTAATTTAATCTCAGTATAAATAATGCAGTTCTGTGAAAGCCTCTCACCACACCAGTCAACAAGAACTAAGATGAAAACAAGAGAAAATTCCAAGCAGATAAGGGATAAGGTTGTGGAGAATTTTAGAGAACAATCCCTAAGATATGACAGTCCCACATTAACACATCAACAAACCACAGAGTGCTTCTCTATCCATCATTTGAAAAAAATGTATCACTGGTTTGATGAAACCCAAATTCAAATAGTGGAATACATCCAAAAGCCTATATGTGGGGGAAAAAAAAGAACCCCATACAATACAAGCACAATCTTTGTGGTAAAACATGGTGGTATATCATGCACTGAGAATATTTCTCTTTAGCAGGAACAGAAAAGATGAACAAAGTTGATGGAAGGAGCTAATTATGACAAAATTCTGTAAGAAAACATTTTATAGACTGTGAAATATTTGAAACTAAGGTGACAGATTACTTTTCCACAAAACAACCATGATCAAAGAGGTACAATGGAACAATGGCTTAGATCAAAGCATAATCGTGTTACAGCAGCTCAGTCAAACTCCTGACCTAAATTCAATTGGAAATCTGTGGTATGATTTGCAAATTGCTATTCATATATGCTATCCATTTAATTAGACTAAGTTTGAGGCAAATGTTTTCCACTAGATGTGCAAAAATGGTAGACATACTCTGAAAGCATCTCTGCAGTATTTTCAGAAAAAAAAGAGTCACAGTACTGACCCAGGGAAGCTGATTGCAAATGCAAGCCACACAGTTTCAAAACTATTCATATTTTTTTTTCACTTACTAAACATTTATGCAGCTTTTTATGTTAATCAGAAAATCCTAATAAAATACATTTAGGTTTACAGTTCTCGCGCAACACATGATTCTACAAGGATAAGTGAGTTAGAAAAAGAATGGTAAATACCTATGCAAGGCACTCCGTTTTGTGAAGACAAAATTTTTGAACAATCAATTTAGCTTTGTGAAGATACTTTGTAAGATTGGATTAAAATGCTAGGTAGGAAACTGAAACATAATGTCTTTAGAAACACAATCAAACAATAGAATAAATGTCTCAGTCACACGCATATGCTCACATGTTAGATGTATAATAATTTACCTACATTTTTCTCACCACACTTTTTCTTTTCATTGGTATATGCAGCTACTCTCGCTGAAGTTTTTGATCTTGATGATTAAGATCTCTGAAAGTTATGGCTAGAAGGTCCAACTGAAGTCCAGGTATCCTAATTCAAGTATTGCTAAGCATAGTTTTAAGTGCATGACATCCTAAGTATCAATGCATTAAACATATTCTTTTGTGACAGTGATATTGAACATATAAGGTTTTCTGAAAGGGTTGTTTGAAATAATTACACACCTAAATCAACCTCAAATTATGGACAAAAATCATCAATTTAACAATTTTTGTAAGCATTATTTCTATATAAAATTTCATTTCCCTGTCCTCATTAGGACTACATCCTCTCTGGCCTACCACTTTAGTCCTCCAGCATCACAGAGCTCTATTAAAGAAGGCAAGGACGAAGATAAGAGATCACTTCAACAGTTCCCTTTTTCCCAATGAATGAAACCCCCTGATATAGTCTATACCCAGAGAAGATGAAAAATGTACGGGTAGCTCTATTATTGATACAAGTCTCCGGCAGAGAAAGAAATGAATGCTAATGGCGTCCTAAGCTGGGCTTTACAGAGATTAATCCGATTTTAGAAATGAACAGTTTATAATATGGCACACAGTCCTGGCCCTGATCTGAAGTGAATCCTCGGCTGAAAAAGGGTGTAAAAAGATGACAAAGGGATTTTGGGAATGAAACATGGGTATACAGCTTGTCGCTTCACAAGACCCTGGCACCTCATTGCAGTTGTGCCCTTTTCCAGCTGACAAGTTCATTTATTTTCTGACATAGCTGCCCAGAAAGATTTTCAATAGATAAGTCAGACAACAATGGCAAAAGAAATAGGGCATATAACAGATGTCTTTGGTGACTACATTATTAGTTGAAGACTGGCTTTGTGCGAGCAGCAGGAAGTCCCACTTGGTCTCTTTGCTGCACCTGCTCTAAGGCTATTCCCCACTGTTTAGACAGGCTAATGGCGTCACACAGGGGATACAGCTGTTCTTGGTTCGACACAGTGAAATAAACAGACTATAATTTAAACTCGCTCAAAAGCAATAAGCTTTTTTTTTTTATGTCAGTTAGAAATATTTAGGTTGCCATGCCCTTTTTTAACCATATGGCATTCTGAAACCACAACCACCATCCATCTCCAGAAAAATAAATAAATAAAAATGTCATTGGGAGGAAAAGGTTTGAGTAGTGTTGAATGGGGAGGAGTAACAGTTGTTCTGATTATTACCATGAATCACTTTGCACCAATTGCCAATAAACAACAACAATCCTGGGAATATATACGGCAATTTATCATACTAAAGCCTCTGACAGGGCAAAACAACATAAAATCTGCATTCAAGTTTGTTTCTTAAAAGTAATGTCACTCCTTCAAGTTTTTTTTTTTTTTTACTTGTTTCAGTGAGGTGAAAAATGTATACCATGTTTCTCACATTTACAGGCTATATCTGGAATTATCATTTGACTGAAGAGTGACACCCATCTTCACTGGAAACTTTATCCTCAGGGGGATCAGTGTAAAAACACAGACACTACACTCATTGTGGACAGTCCTATATTTTTATATTCAAAGAATGTTTAATGCATTGGTATTAAAGTGTTAAGGGCCAGCTGCATTGGAACAATTATTTAATTTGCAACAGTGACCCTTTTCTCAAAGTTTGTTTCAGCTCTTGCACCACCTTCAAATGATATAAAAATTACATGTTCAGATTAAAAATTACAATTTATATAGTGAAGTTAGTCAACTCTAACTTTGTTATGTCTTATTAGTCAAGTCAGAAAAGGAGAAACATATTTTTTTCTTCTTTTTTCTAGTTCTAAATTTCAAGTACACCCACAGCAACATGTCAAATAAAAAATATGAAATTCTCTTACTGCTTTTGGAGAACAACCCCCACAATATTTGTGACTTGTCTGTCCCTGTGAAGTTTTACAAAAAAGCCTCAGAGGTGCAGAACCCTCAACAGACTTTGCTGGATATCAGTCTTTAAAATACAAGACTTATGATAAAAGCATGTCTTGTAATTTGTTATATCTCATGCTCTTTGGTTTTCATCAAACTTTAAACACACATTCACAAAGTGGTAACTGTTGCTTTGTGGCATATTGCAGCAGAGCTCAAAACACACTTCTCGCAAGCCATCTAACGCACCTATATGTCACTCCATCTGGGAAGGACCAGAATGAAGATTGATTTTTTTCTTTATTTCAGCACCACGTAGAGGGACAGCTCCCTCCCAGCCTACCACAGAGAAGTGAAAAAGCGCCTTTTGTGGAAGCCACACAAAGTGAAAGTGGAGGGGGGGACTTGTGGTCTGATTATTCAAAAATCCAGGAGTGAGCAAGAATGTCCAGTTTCATCAATAGCTTTTATGTACTATTACTTGCATGTTAAACCATGTAGGTCAAATTCATTCAAGATCAGATACACACGTGCCAATATGTCAGATTTTCAGTTGCTGAACAGGTTGAGCGCAAAAACAGGTATGGGCTGCATTGATACCTGCAGAGGGGAGGACAGGTGTCACATTTGCGTTAAGCAAAACCTGACTTGTCGTATTTATTGCTGCTCCGATCAAACAGGCGTCATAAATCAATAAATCTAAAACTATATATATGTATATTTGTCGCGCATTCGCTCACTCAAGTCAAGGGCGCGCGGTGACGCCAAAGCAGACCTGTGCGAACGTGCGAATTGCGAATTTTTCTATCTTGTCGAAGGAGCAGGTTATTAAACATTTTTTACTTTGAGAATGCAGCATCACTGAAGGGATACAGAACCTAGGCAATAATGTGCCCAATATCCCTGCAGCTCTAGAAACATTAAAGACGGTGCAAGAAGCAAGATATGGTAAAGAAGGTACGGAAAACCCTCGAGCGTATTTAACCACACACACACAAAAAAAACTTACTTTTCCACGAAGAGATTTGGAAGGTCTGTCTTGCTGTCTTGCGGTTGACGGTCCGTCTTTCGCTCTCTCACCCTCCCCGAAAAAGAACTGCATAGAAAAATTCCGCAATTCTCAGGCGCGTTTACAAAATTCCGTGTTGTCGTCTTCTTGTCAAAGACATTGTGTTCCTAATTAAAAAACAAACAAAGAAAAAAAAAAAAAAAAAACAAAAAAAGCAAGTGGTATGTAATCCACACATTAGTCCGAACGGCGTGCTGCTAAAGTCTCACAGTGATGATACTCCGCAAATCAAATGGATATTTCCTCTTGTTCCAAGATGCAAATCACAACCAAGGCACCCGACAAGTGCGATTGTTGAAACTAGTCTCCCCGACCAGAAGACGATGCGCTCCCAAATTTTCAGGAAGAAAAAAAGAAAAGAAAGAGAGTTAAATTAATCCAAGCCTAATGGCTCTTTTGTCTTTTCTTAGAGCTTAAAAAAAACTGACCATTCCAAACCCATCAGCTCGCGTTGGTCAAAGCCCAGGCACATCAAAGCTACATCCTGGAAAGCTCGTCATTTAGTCACTAATACAGTTTTTTTTTTTTCTCTCCTTAGCGAGGCAAAGGTGGGGTTGCTTTAACGTCCCGCTCGCTTACGTTTCAAATATAACTTTTTATCAAGTCCACGTAAGAATATTTGTCAGTCATCAAACCTGAATTAATATTTAGCGCATTAGCCAACGTAGACTTTTTTTTTAGGGGGATGCTCACATCTGTTTCCCCTCGCCGATGAAAGCAGCCCCGCAGTGTTACGCCTGTGTGCGGTTATCCTGCAAATTAAGTGAAGAAGTTGGGTATTGAGAAGAGCAATATCTCTCTTCAAGTTGCGTCGCTCTTCATTTGTAAAATAACGAACTTTAAGAAGAAAAGGAGCAAATGAAAATCCTCGGAGGTGTCTTCATTTGGATCCTCTAGCAGCAGCTTTTAAGTCTGAAAGAGCTGAGGGAGGTAAAGGAAAAAAAAAAAAGCAGCTCAATTCCTGCACGTTTTCCGCACCCAGTCTGGAGGGGAGTCACAGTTCACTGAAAGCATTCATGTCTCCTGCACCCTCCCTTCGCTCCGTGAATTTTCCTCATAAAGCCTCCTTTTGATGTGACAGAATATATTTATTCTCTGGAGTGCATTTCCACAAGACGTCGATTGTCCAGCGATCCTCCCCTTCTCTGGACCGCGGAGTGTATTAGTCGGCTTTAATTAGATGGCTCCATTACGCACAGGCACGCTGCATCCAACGGCGCCTTTCAAAGTGCCCCGAGAGCTCAGCCTTGTATATAGCCATATAGATAAAACGCCGAGAGACAGTGAATTGATAAGGGGCATCATGTAAGGTTACCTCCCACTGACAGGCTGTTCCTCCAACTTCAACCGGGTGTGCTCCCTCCACTGACTGCAGGTGGCTCACCCGCAAGACCGAGGCAGCGATGCCAGGGAAAATTGACATCCTTCTTTTACAGTCTACATGCAGCCCTGAACTAAAAAAAAAAAAAAAAAAAAAAAAAAACAGAAAAGCCTTTTAAGTACCACGCTTAGTGCTCCTTTGATATTTTCTTATTTAACTGTTGCTTTATCTCTCGTTAATGGGTCAATTTGAAGAAAAAAAAAGGGGACTGGCAAAACTGTTGTTTTTATTTTTGTGCATGTCGGAATAAAAGTCGTCGAGCAAACGACACAGACAGATGGAGAGAATGAGAGAGGAGAAAAACTGTTTCCTCCCATGTGGATCTTGGAAATAGGACATGACTGCCACCTACCGACTCCTTCTCTCCTGGGTGATAATGCGATAGTCCTGTTCGGGTTGACTGCCGCATAGGACCGTTCTCCCATGCAACACTATAGATTGTGTTTACATACACTTTTGAATTTGTATGGCATAAACACTGTCAGGCACAACAGGAGACGTGAGCTTGAATTATCTTCATGCATGCAAACACGGGAATAGATGTAAAGTGCAAGCACACACATACAGAGAGAAGTGTGACAATCCAGAAAACAGATTAATATGAGTTATAATCTCTCTCAGGCTTCAGCACTTTAGACCCTATTTATAAATGCTGGCAGAGTGTTATGAATTATGAAATAGGTCCACACGGTGCAGATTTTTAGCACGGTGGGTGACACCAGAGACTTCAGGTCTTCAGAAAGATTATTGCTTGTGAAGCGTTTATCTTAGGCCGCCTGCTGCACTGCAAATATTATGCTAAACTCAGTAATATTCTGCAACATGTATGGAGAGGCTACAAACGTGGAGGAATTTTTTTCATATATAGGCCGAGCTGAGCATTTGAAGTGAACGTGCTCAAATAAAACACAATACAGAGATGTGAGAAGACACTTGAATGACTGGGATGTGTCCATCTAGTTGTCAACATCTGATCTCCTTTTCCCCAGTGCTGTAGGTGTTGCATCATTCATCTGTCTTCATAACTGTTGACCTGCCTGTCTGTGTTTTGGGCATACTGTAGTGAAGAGCATCAACCCTCCTCTGTTCTATTGTCCTGTTCATCTTTCGAGCCTGATACATTTGACATAAAGCTTTTATATCTATGTGAGTGAGGAATTTTTCCATCATTTAGCATTATTCTTATACAGCTGTTGCATACAAGCCATATGCCTATTCTTAATTTTGGAAACCTTTGAGTACTTCATTATACTTATCAGTTTTGCCAAAGTCCATCAGCACTACAGCAGTGTCTTGATCATTACCGATGATCAGACAGAGCAGGAGATTGACAGATGGAACGGGGTCTTGTCGACAGTCAAGTGGACACTGCTTCAGTCAGTTGTGGTGAAGAAAGAGCAGTGTCAAAACGTAAAGATTTCAATTATCTGGTAACTCTGCATCCTGACCCTCAGCTCTGCATTTGGGATTTGACTCATGACTGAAAGAACAAGATGCTGGACACAAGCAGCTGAAAAGAGCTTCTTCTGCAGGGGGGCAGGGCTCAGTCAGAGAGACAAGGAGAGAAGACTTCTGTCAAACCTGTAAATACTTGTCACAGGTCAGTATGATATTTTAAAGTAATATTTTTCAAAAGCTTTTTTAGTCATTACTTTGGAAGTTGAAAGTAATGAACTTTGACAACCCTACTAAATATAATGAAGTAGTCGGAAACCGTTATGACTAAAGAATAGACTTATGGCCCGCAGTGTAACTGGAGGACAAAATCCTCACTTATATAAAAGATTTTAATGAAACTCATCAGGTAAGTTAAAAAATCCTCCTCAGAAGATCCAAGTAGAGCTGCTGCTCCTAATCAGGTAGCAGAGTGTGTTGAGGTGGTTCTGGCCTCTGACCACAGTGAATTGTGGACATCCCCCTTTGGAATGTGTTCAAGTATGTCGCAGTGGGAAAAGACCTCAGGGCAGGCCCAGAACTCGCTGAAGGATCTATCTTCTTCTCCTCGTTATCCTCTTCCTTCAACGGTCGTCACTGCAAATCATGTGTCTCTATTGATTTTAATATTTGATTTGGGTTAGATTTTATGTCGGTTGCCCTCCCTGACACACGTCTCTCCATATTTGAAACCAGATATATTCATGTATTGCAAAAAAAAAAAAGACACCAACTTTTTTCCTACTGTGTGACGTTAAACCTGACCAAACTTCCCCTGTTTTATGTCAAGTTGAATCACCAAAATGATCTCCATTAAAAAAATTTAAAAAAAAAAATCTCCCATTCATTACTTCCAGTTTAACTTTTAAATATATAAATCATAGAATAGCAAAATACATATTGCCAATCATCTCAGAAAGTGAAGCTTAAATGTCATATTGAACAATCACAAATAGAATCACATATTACAATAATTGTTTCTTGTAATTTTGAAGATTATAGGTTACAGGTAAAACAAAAAAATAAAATGCAATGTCTCAAAAACGTAGAATGCTGTGAAAAAGGTCATTAATAGAATGTCATAGTATCACATCCTAATCAGCTAATTAACTCAAAACACCTACAAAAGTTTACTGACATTTAAAAGGTCCCTCTCTATGGGTCTGTAGGCTACACATTTAGAAGGAAGGCTTCTGACTTTGCAAATGTCCAGAAGACAGTCATTGACATACTTCACATGTAAGGTTAGCCATAAAAGGTCATTGCTGAAAAGGCTGGTTGTTTACAAAGTTATATAGAGATGCAGATTAACAGAAAATTGAGTGGAAGGTAGAAATTTTGATATGATAGGGTGCACTCAACAACAGTGAAAACCTCAGAGAGGGTTGAAATACATTTCAGAAGAGCCAACACACACAGGCAAAAACTACACATGGGGTACAAATGTCACACTCCCCATGTCAAGCCACTGCTGAACCAGAGACAATGTCAGAATCATCTTATTTGAGCTAAGGAGAAAAGATTTGCTGCTCAACAGTCTAAAGTTTTGTTAGATGAAAGTAAATTCTGAATTTCATTTGAAAATCAAGGTCTCAGAGCCTGGAGGAAGAGTGGAGAGGCACAGAATCCACATTACTTGAAGTCCAGTTACAAGTTTCCACATTCAGTGACAGTTTGGGGTGCCATGTCATCTGCTGGTGTTGATCCACTGTGTTTTCTGACAGCCAGTGTAGTCATCATCAACCAGGAAATTCTAGAGCAATTTTTGTTTTCCTTTGGTGACAAGGTGTATAGAGCAGGACTTGGCACCTGCACACATTGCCAAAGGTACTAAAAGCTGCTTCAATGACTATGGAGTTCCTATTCCTGACTGGCTAACCCTGGTGTATGTAAACATCTGAATTTAAAGAAATAAAATCTGAAAACTTCCTTCTCACACTGTTTTGGCATTTAGGAAATACAACATGTATTTGATAGTCTTTGCTGACCTTAAACAGGAAGATTTTTGTCAAATGTATTATTAATCAGTGAGATTAATAATAGATACTGTCCCATTTGTGTATTCTTATACAATGTAGGTGTGGATTTTATTTCAAATGTGTTTCATTTTTGTCAGGAAATACCTTGTGATCCACCAACATTAGCTAGAGAGAGCCTCTGGGGGAAGAGATATCTGGTCTTCCCTCCAGCATCTGTTAAGCCTAATTCAAACTCTGTTGACTGGTGGAATGCTCTGTCATTTCAGTCAGTTATGCACCTTCTATGTTTTGTTATTCCTTGTTCATATATATAGTAAATTGGAGTATGCTTTTTGATGAGGCTCATTTGTCGGAATAATAGTTTTTCATTGGTCTGATGCAATTTCTAGCCCTTTTTTTTCTTAAATGCATGATTAGAAGAACACAATCTGTAAAGTATTCACTTAACTTTGAACTGATACTTGTAATTTAGGACAAATGGAACTATTTCTTTTAATGTTACACTTGCATATGAATAATTTAATTACAGCTTTTATGTAATGGCCTCGATGAACATTAGTCAACAAACAGCATTATGAACATAATGGGTTCATAATGGGTTGTTTACAGAAATACCAAGAGATGGACATCCACCTAAACACAGCCTTAATCAAAGAGGCATCTAAGACGCCCATTGTAACTCCAGAAGCTTCAGAGAGTCTGTTGACAAGATAAGTATTAGTCATGCATCCCAGAAAGCCACAATTTATGGGTCAGTGGCAAGAAGACAGCTCCTGCCAAATCAATGAGAAGTCCTGTTTGCAGTTTGGAACAAGCCACCCAGGTAACACAACAAACATGTAGAATTCAGAGATAGGATCAGATGAAATAAACTTGCTAGCAAATAAGAAAAAAAATGCTGTGGCAACAAACAAATCATGTGTTGTTCAGGGAGCAAAGAACTGGGTGAATTGTTTGGAAAGGAAAACCGGTCTGATGTGATGGGACGATGAATGGTGCTAAACATAGGACCATCTTTAAAGAAAACATGTTAGAAGCTGCAAAAAAATGCCAGACTTTACATTCTGTCCTTAAAATGTAGCGATTTTTTTCCACTTTCAGAGGTGTAAGCCAAATCTATACCATTCTAACAACAAAAGGAGCCCTTTTGTCTTAGAAAAGGGATCCATTTATTGCTACAAATGGTAAACATAAAAATGAGGGTC